CAAGTATATGACTGCATTTATCTGCTTTAGATCTATGCTCCTGTGCACTTTACTAAATATCTAATCTGATTCAGCCCCAAAAGAGAAATGCTGTGGAGAGGGGCTGGAAAGTTTCATTTTATATGTGAAATTTCAAAATGTAGGAGTAAATACATAAGAGAAAAATGTAAATCATAACTGACATTTATATCTAATGATCATTCCATTGCCAAATGCTTTAAAAGCCTTATCTCATTTTAGACTCAAAATACTCCTGGCAAGATCAGTACTATAGACTGTGTTATTCCCATTTTACAAATAAGGAATCTAAGGCTGAAAAAAGTTATGTGGCTTGTTCTTGGTCAATCAGTAAAGCAGTAAGCATTTATTAGGACTCTACTACTCCAGGAACCATTCTAGGCTCTAGGCATACAAAAATAAGAACAAAACAATCCTCACCTTCAAAGAGCTTGCATTTTATTAGGGAAGGAGGGGAAGAACAGGTACATATCTAAGTAAATATAAACTATTAGGGAAAGGGTGTGCACCTGTAATTTCATTAGCAGAGGGAACTCCCTGATAAGGAAATTTCCTCTACCAATGCAAGTTTATAGTATTAGAGAGTTTTATAGTATTTATAGTATTAGAGAGTTGCTTGCTGCACTGAGAATAAGTAACTTGCCCAGAATCACACAATCAGTACAGGTCAGAGGCAGGACTTGAACCCAAGTTCTGGGTTCTAAGGCCAATTCTCAATCTATTCTCTCTCTTAAATACAAAACAACAACAATCCAAGTAATTTCAGGGAGCAATAAATAAATGACAGAGATTATGAAAGGCTACACGTAAGAAGTGAATTCTGAAGAAAGCTGGTGATTCTATTAGATAAAATCCAAGAGGACAATCTATATAAAGACATAGAGATTAAGGAGAGAATATAATATATGAAAAACAACAAGCAGACCAGTATGGCTAGAATGTAGAGTGAGTGAAAGGGAATAATGCATAATTTGAAAAGGCAGATTCAAAGTACAGTGTCAAGAGCTTTGAAGGTTAAACAGGATTCTGTATTTTAACTTCTGGACAACAGGGAGTGTTATTAGAGCCTCTGAAGCAGAGAACTGACATGGTCCAATCTGTGCTTTAGAACTTAACATTTCAGCAGCTATGAAGAGGATGGGTTGGAGAGGTAAGAGAGTAGAGGCAGGAAGATCAAGTCAACAAGCATTTTTTAAATACTTACTATATACTAGCTACGGTGCTAGACAATCCCTGTTCTCAAGATTACAGTATAATAGACATAAAAGGAAGCTGAAAGGCATGGGGGGGAGGGGGGAATGGGGAAGAAGGGTAGGAGGAAGGCACCCATATGTAGCATGGTGGAGAAAGAACACTTAGGGAGCTACTTTAATAGTCCAGATGACAAGTGATAAGGGTCTAATCTATGAGAGTTGCTATGTGAGTAGAAAGAATAGGAAAGATGCAAGAAATGTTGTGGAAGGAGAATCAATAAAACTTGGTAAGCATAAGAGAGAGGACTTGAATCCAGGATTTCTTGACTCCAAATCCAATACTTGAATCTCATATGCATCCTCTCATGACAGGTTATTTTACCAAGATAACTGAAGTTTTTAAAAATACAAATTGTTCTCTGTCTTGATTGATTTGTGGATGTACCATAGTTATAGGGATTTTGCATTTCATTACAATCAGAAAAATGGATTAGCTCTACAGAACAATTATTTGAAGATTAGCTCCAATCAATTGTTCAAACAACAACATTTAATAAGCACTTTATATACCAAGCACTCTGTTAAGATCTAAGGATACAAAGACAAGAGTGAATGATCCTTACCTTCAAAAAGTTTACATTCTAGTGGAAAAGATATATACCTAAGTACATATGCTAAATTTATATTACGAGCACACCCAACATATGTATATATTTAAATTAATAAAAGGTTGATTTGGGAAGGAGTGCATGAGTAGCTGGTGGTATGGAGAAAGATTTTGTGTAGAAGACAGCAGTTTAAGCTGTGTCTCAAAGGAAACCAGGGATTCCAAGAAGTGAAGGTAAGGAACAAGCGCATTCTAGGGATGGTAGACAGCCAAAACAAAAATATAAAGATGTGTGCAAAATAGTGAGTATGCAGTATATCTAGACTGCAGAGTACACAGAGGGGAGTAATGCATAAGGATGCTGGAAAGGTAGGAAGATTCATATTTTCAATATATAATTCATTAATATAATAATTATTAATAAATAATTCAAATATAATAAAAGCCCAAATTAAATCCGATTAAGAACAAGAAGCATTACTGGAGAAGCAACAAAATAATCTTAGAACCAGGAGAGACCCGAGTTCAAAATCAAGCCCTAACACTATCCGTCGACCTTAGGCAAGTCATTTAAAGTTTTTTGAGCTTCTCATAAAAAAGGGGCTAATATTTATATTACCCAATTCATAAGGTTTTGAGGAAAAGTGCTCTGGAAACCTAAAAGCACCACAGAAGAGGAATCATCAACAGAACTATTAACTGGTGCTTTTAATTTTGCTTGCTCCTTTTCCACAGGTTTTATATACATATATATATATATATATACACACACACACACACACATATATACCATCCACAATCATCTTAATAGCTAACATATATATAACACTTCTTTTCAAAATTTACAAAGTTTTACAAACTTGTCATTTATTATCTCCATCTTTGCAGATGAAGAAACTAAAAGAAACTAAAAAAAAAAAAACCAGGAAGGTAAAGTGACTTGCTCAAGGTTAGCCAACTAGTTAAGTGTAGGAGATAGAATTTGAACTCAAGTCTACCTGACTCCAAATCCAGCATTCACTCTACTATAACCCTCTGCCTATAGCATTAATCATTCAAAAGTATCAACACAGTGATCTCTACACTAACTATTATGGGAAAAATAAAAAAGAAATTGAAAAATGTCCTTCCTTGTACTTAGCTATATGGCAGATAGAAAAAAATTACATAAAATAAAGTGCTTGTCTGCAAGGAGTTTACACTATCAAAAATCTTATGAATATAATGTAATATAAAGAAATTAAATAATATAAATAACTATATAATTAAATAATATAAAGAAATAATGATCAAGTATTTAAATGAATGCTGTAGACCAGTGGTGTCAAACCCAAATGGAAAAGGGCAGCATAATGACTTGGAAAACCTCAAAATAACCTTATCTATGTTGTACTGTATTTTTATTTTTGTTAATTATTTTCCCAGTGGTCATGACTTTGACAACTCTGGTATAGATAATAAGTACCACAAGGGTTGGGTAGTCAGGAAGGCTTCATGGAGAAGTTGAGACTTGAGCTGACCTGATAGGAATGACAAGATTTAAATGTGCAGAAATAAAGAGAGACCCACATTCCAAGCAGGGGGAGAAGCAAGAGTATGGAAGAAAAAATAAGGATGGTATTTTGAAGGAATAATAAAGAGACTGGTCTAATTACAGCAATTCACCTTAGATTAAGAGTAACACCAGGCCAGATTATGAGGGTGACGAAAGCATTCTGAGGAGTTTATATTTAGAGAGCAATGTGGAGCCATAAAGGTTTCTGAATAGGGGAATAAAATGAGAAATGTGTTTTTGAAAGGTCCAATGTGCAAAATAATTAGAACAGGGAAGAAGCTGAAAACAGTAAAGAGGTTATTATAGTAATTTTGAGTGTGAAGAATTTAAGGCCCTGTATGAGGATGGTTGCAGCAAAAATGGAGGGAAAGTGACAGGAATGAGAGATGTTTTAAAGAAAGAAATTATAGGGCACAGATATGAAGGATGAAGGACAGAGAATAAAAAAAATAACTTTAAGGTTTCTACCTTTTTCCCCTAAGAAATTGGTGGTAGTCCTGACATTACTGGGAAAGTTACTTGGGTAGATGAGCTCACTGAATTTGAGGAAGTGGCTAGAGATCCAAATGGAAATAAATGTCAAACAGGCAGCTGTCAACAAAGATCTATTTTGCACACACAATTTTGCACTTAATTAGTATATGTTCTTCGGATGTTTCACCTGTGTTAATATTGCTTCCTTAATTATACTATAAGCTTCATGAAGCCAGGGACAACATCTTCTATACTTTTTTGTATCACCCCAAATTCGTAGTTCAGTGCTAGACAAGCAGAAAGCATTCATTAAGTGTCTGCTGACAGACTGATATGTGGGACATCACTGCTATGGTAAATTTACAAGAAACATAAGCATACAACACTAAGAACAGAAAACATTAAATGTAGGAAGGGAGTGTAGTACAACAGAAAGGACACATGGCCTTGTGCAAGTCCCTTAACTTCCTGGAGCCTCAGTTTCCTCATCTGCAAAGTTAAGAATATGGACCTGCCTCACTTAGAGGATTGCTGAGATTATTCAATGAATTAACATATGAGAAAACACTTATAAAACTACAGTTATCATTAACAGATAAAATGTGTTTTCAACAAATCTTGGGTCTTAACTCAAGAGCAATATCAAGGGTCTCTCATAATTCATTCCCTCTCTTGTGTCAATTTCCTTTTCTTTATTATAGGCACCTTCCCTATAACCTGTAAATATGCCCAGGTCTTAAATAATCTTAAATAAATCATCACTGAATCCTAGCTTCCCTTTTCAAATGCCAGCCCATCTTTTTTCTTCCTTTTTAAGGATAAATTTTTCCAATACGTGTATTTTCACCTGCTGCCTTATTTCCTCATCACCATGAGGACTACTTCAAGCTATCAGTTCAACGTCAATTCTTAAAAGTATAGACTACAGATTCAAAAAATTATGAATACTCGACACTCAGAATTCTAGGAAAAGCTGGAGAAAAAAGTGGATTAAGAAAGAAGGCACCAAGTTAAAAGTAAAACATATAAAAAACAAATATTTAACAGAATAGCATACAATTACTTTAAATGGCTTAATACACTACTCCTGGTGCAAGAGAACACTGTACTAAGTGACATGAAACCTCCTCTATTATTGTAAGGATTGTCATACCTGCTTTGCAAAAAATATTGTGTCAAGTCTGGAATCCTGAACCACAGAGCCTGCTGGTTCTTCTCCTGGCTGCCACTTGAAAAGAAAAATTAACCCATGAACTGGCCTACAAAATAAAATACAAATTAGTGATATCTTTTGTGCCAAATAGTCTTAGTACAATAAGTCATCCAGTTAATTACAAAATCTAACAAGAAATTAGAAGTAACCCTTAAAGATACTACCCTTCTCAGCCTCCTGCCTCCCAGACTCCCTTCCCCCCCCAAAAGGGGCAGCTTTCACCATGCACAAAGTATTATTTCTGAAGAAATGGATTCACTGAATCCTAGATTATTATTTACTTTTTAAATGTCATAAGTTAGAAAGAGAATTGTAACGAAAGCCTTGCCCTCAAATACATGGACTATTTAGCCCTAAATTATATTACCTTATTTAAAAATTGAAAATACGTGCAAGATAAAACTAGAGCTACTTTTAACATTCTATATAGAATTCCATGAATGAAGTTCACGAGTTGAAGGGCATTTATAGGAATTAATGAAAGTATACCTTACTAAATTCAGCTAGTCCTCTATGCAGGAAAACTAGTCAGGAGGGAATTACACAGCTGAATTGTCAGTTTTTCTCAGCCTTGAAAACTTTTGTGTCAATGGAAGCCAACTTCCACTACATCTGAAGAAGCTGGAGCTGTTAATGCTTTCAAGGTCCCTGTACCTTAACCCTCTTGGGAGCCCCTAGCCCTTGTGAGTCATTTATGGCAGACACACCTCCCCAGTCCCTGTTCTGCTGTGGCTCTCCAATTATTGAAGGATGGGTATGATTTCAAAACTGAGCTCAAACATCACCTCCTTCAAGATCTCTTTCTGCTTCATGCAGAACACTGTGCTGGACACTGGGGAAGACACAAAATTAGATAAGACATAATCACTGTCCTCAGAGAGCTCTCCATTTTTATGTCGGTGTCCCCATCCTGAAAACTCACTATCTCAAAGAGAACAGTTTACCATAAAAATCCCTTTCTTTTCTACCAATTAGAGTTACTTTAACTAAAAGCTATTGGACCCTTTGCCAGTGTACCTTCAAGTCCCAGTTGTCAAAGACCCTCTCATCACAAAATCTATCCATCCCCATCCATCACAAACCATATCCTGATATCCTACCCTAGAAGATCTGGTCACCAGAGTCTATCCTACAAATCACCCTAGTCTACTCTGTCCTGTGTAGCAGGATACTTCACTAAAGCCATGGAGATAATGGGGTTCTAGGATCTAGTGCTCAGGCTCTAGGTACTGAGACTTGAGTAGCTGAGGTATAAGAAGTATTCCTATTGTCTCCAGCTGGCATGTTTAATACATGGTTGATTAGTAACAATGTTAAAGATGATGATCAAGTTTTAAAGTAATGCATATAACTTACTATGATAGTAACAGAGATATGTTTGTACATATAGATGCTTTTTGTCTGGGTCTGAGATTTATTCTCTCTACCAATGAAAACGGCAATTGTTATGCAAATTAGTCTTGCATAAAGTTGCCTAAGGCACTAAGAGGTTAAGTGATTTGCCTACGGTCATACAGAAAGTGACAAAGTTGGGCCTTAAACACAGGATGACTTGACTCAAAAGACTGACTCCTCTCCAACACAACTCACAGCTCACTGCCTTTCTCCCTCCCCTACTCTGAAAAAGAGAAAGAATAATCTTTTGATTATCCTCTTGACTGAGAGATACACATATATAAACAAATGTATATGTAGGTAGTAATAGAAATACATTGTGTTATTTAAAATTGTTTAATTACTTTATGGGTTAAAATGGGCCACAAACCTAAATAGGATATCATAGTTAGAATGGACCTCAATTCAACAAGAATTTATTAACTACCATTTATTAATTGTACTATTATTGTTATGTAGAAGACACCAGAGAAATAAATAAAAAAAAGAAAACAAAAAAAGCCCTGACCTCAAGGAGCTTACTGTTCACTGTGGAGGACATAACAATTACACAAATAAGTACATACAAGATTATCTCAGGAGGGAGAGAACATTAACAACTTGGGAGATCAGAAATGGCTTCACCGAATAGACAGCACTGAGTTGAGCCTTGAAAGTTCATGATTCTAAAAGGCAGAGATAAGAAGGCAGTACATTCTGAGAACGAGGGATATCCTAGGCAAAGACAAAGAGTCTAAATAAAGAATGCCAAATTTGGGGAATTTCAAGGAGGCCAGTATGAATGACTAGGCAAGAGAACAACGTAAAAGAAGTCTGAAAAGTAAACAGGAGACAGAAGGTGAAGGTCTTGAAATGACAAATTGAAGAATTTGTACTTTATCCTAGAGATATGGAGAGCAATGAGATTTTCAACCATGGGAATACAGACAAGGGCACTCTGAGATGTTCATAAAAAGCTCAAACTCAGCATGCCCAATATAAAACTCATTATCTTTCCTTCCTCCCTCCCTCAACATTCCTTTTTCTCTTAACTTTGTGATTTCTATCAAAGGGACCACCATTCTTCCTACCCCCTAGACTCACATCCAAAGAATCATCCTGTACTCTAGTTTCTCCCTCATCTCCAAACAGTCACGTCATATCCATTCTACCTCCACAAAGCATCCCATATTCATCCCTCTCTTTCCACTAACCCAGTCATCATCCTATTTTAGGCTTCATCACCTCCCACTTACATCACTGCAACAGCTTCCCTAATTGAGCTCCCAACAAGTATTTCCTCTTGCAATTCAACCTTGGCAACTCTGTTAAACTGGCATTCCAAAACTCCAGGTTTTTGTCATTCTCCTCAAGAATCTTCAGTAATTCCCTATGCCTCTAGGGTAAAATACAACATCCTCAGTTAGATGTTTAAAGATCTTGATTTCTGGCCACCAGTTAACACTTCAGACATCTTTCATGTTACTCCTCATTGCGTCCTATACATTCAAACCAAACTGGCCTAATTGTGGTTACCTACAGATGACGTTCCATTTCCTCATTCTTCTGAGGCTGCTCCCCCTCCTACTCCATCTCCCACCCCCACCTAGAGTGCTCTCCCTCCTTACTCCCACCTCACAGAAACCACAGCTTCCATCAAAGCTTGGCTTTCAGTGCCCCCTTCCTACCAGAAGCCTACCTTAATCACACCAGATGCTAAGGTACTCCCTCACGAAATTACTTTGCATATACTTTGTATTTAAGTTTCTGTGTATAGGTTGTTTCCTCTCAAACAGAATGTAAGGGCCTTGTTATTCCTGTTTTTATCCCCAGTGCCTAGCACTTAAATACTTGCTGACTGTGTGTTGAGGGACAAATCATTTAACTTCTCAGCCTCAGTTTCCTCATCTGTAAAATGGGGATAATAACACCTATAGTACCTACCTCACAGAGCTGTTGTGAGGCTGCATTAAGAGAGGCACAGCTTCCAGGAATAAGGAAGGGTTAGTCCTGCTGTACTCTGCCCTGGTCAGACCACATCTGGAGTATTGTGTTCAGTTCTAGGTGCCGCAATTTAAGAATGACATTGTTAAGCTTGAAGAATGTCCACAGGAGAATAACTTCTCAAAGCCCTTAAAAAGGCTTTGAGTTTATTTCATATAAGGATCTACTGAAGGAATTGGACATATTTAACATGAAGACTCAGGGAAAACATGATTCCTGTCTTCAAGTATCAAAAGGGCTGTCATGCGGAAAAGGAATTAGACTCATTCTGATTGACCCCAGAGAACAGAAACCAGGAACTTCCAAAAGTAAACTTGGATCTGAAGTTAGGAAATACTTCCAAAAGTCAGAACTATGCAAAAGCAGAATGGAAACCTCAGCAGGTGGCAGCATTTCCCTCACTGAAAGTCTTCCTAGAGGAGGGATGATCACCTGTCATGTTGACTCTGGTGGGGATGCTATCTGGGGCATGGGTGGCATTAGCTGAGTGTTAAGGTCTCTTCTAACTCAGAAATTCGTGCATCTTTGATTGCACTCCTCTGCTCAAAAACTCTCTGTAGCTGCCTATTGCTAGTGAGTGAATTGCATGTGCTTTTCTCTCCCACTTCTGCACATTTGCTCAATACAATAAGCATTCATTAAGTGTCTACTACGTGCCAGTCACAGCGCTAGGCACTAGGGATTCAAAAGACAAAAACCAAAATAGCCCCTGCCCTCAATGAGCTTACATCCTATTATGTGAAAATAACACATTCACAGTAAATTAAGTAAAAAATACATTCCAAGCAATTTCTTGGGCAAGAGTACTAGCAAGTAAGTGGACCAGAATAGGCTTTCTGTGGGAGGTAGCACCAGAGCCTAGCTTTAACAGAAGCTGAGGATTCTCTAAGGAGGAGAAGAGGAAGCAGTGCACTCCAGACATGGGGCAAATCCTGTGAAAGGCACACAGACAGGCAATGGAAGGTCAAGTACATGAAATGGCAAACTGGCTCTTTTGGCTATAAAGTCAGGTGTGTGTACAGTAATGTGCAAATAATCATGGAAAGGCAGGTTGAAGCCAGAATCCAAAGGGCTTTAAAAGCCAGAGAGATTTGTATTTTATCTTAGATATAAGAGGAAGCTATTGGAGTTTTTTGAGTAGAGGAATGACATGGTCAAATCTATGCTTCAGAATTTGGTAACTATGGGTTAGGGAAGAGAACGGTTACAGGGAAACTAATTAAGAGGAGGATATTGTAAGGAGGACTATGGATATGGAATATTACATAGCTGAGGTCTAGGTTAGTTTTGCTGAACAATTTTTCCCCTTTTAAAAAAAAATCTATTGCAAAGGGTCACTAACAGGAAAAAAAATGAGATACAAATTTTTTTTTTTTTACAGAGGCTATTGCAAAAATCCAAATAAGAGTGAGACAATGGAGGACTGAAATATGATGATGACTGAGTGGAAAGAAATGCAAGGTATTACATGGTGGTAAAATCAGTAAGATTTGTCAATTGTCTGGAGATAAAGGATGATAAAGAGATGGGTGACTCTGAGATTGATCAGAAGAATGGTGGTACTCTCAACAAAAATAAGGAAGTTAGAAAGACAGGGTTTTGGAAAGTAGAGATAATGAACTGTTTTTTATGTCTGGAATGCTCTTCTTCCCCTCTTGTCTTGCTGAGTCCCTAGCCAATCTTTTAATGCGTTACTCAAAAGGCATTTCCTCAGTGAGACCTTCCATGATGCCTCTGGTCAACAATCAACTTTTCTCTCTTATTTCATTACACAGCAGTAATGAAACTTTCTAATACACCAATAATGTGATATTGTATATTGTATTTTTCTGCATGTTGGTATATTACTCCCCTACTAAACTCTAAGCTCCATAAGGACAGGGACTATGTCTCAACCTCTGTGACTCCCTCAGCGCCTGGCACAATGCTCTGCACAAAGTAGGCACTTTACATTTGTTGAATGAATAAATGAATGAATATGAAAATAGATTTCAAGTTCTAAAAAATGGACTTTAAAATTGGGGACTGCTTGTACTGGAAATTTAAAACATGGACCTGCAATTGTAATTATATAATGGATACATACATACACACATTTATATACACATACATACACATCTAATTAAAATGAATTATCAAGCATGGTTATACTTTCAAATTTTAATTGGATGATAAAATCTTTCCTAAATTGGAAAAAAAAAGTTTTTTAAAGGGCTTACTTTAATTTCTCAAAGTTCTCTGGCTCCAAACTCCATATTTCTTCTACTTGTGCTCCTCGACAACCTAAAATAAGTGAAAACATTTTTTTTTTCAGAAAATTTACAAATGGTATTTGCTTACAAAGATTAAAGACACAAGTACTTATTTTAAAATAAGATACAAATTATGTATGCTTTATTTCACTGTATAACATTATCCTCATTTACAATTTCCACCAAAGTTGGTGGTGATGAAATCTGCCAGATTTCTAAAATTCTTTCACAGCACTAACCAAGTTTCTTTCTCTTTCATAAAATGGAAAAGCTAAATACTTTTCCCCTAATATTAATACATGTAACAAATGAAAAGTAAAAAAATAATTTTTTGTTAAGCATCCTGTTGAACTTAACCATCATTCTCTTACCAAACTACCTCAGCTTTCTTATTTTGGTAGTAATTATGCATAATATAGTTCTCCACTGAATGTAACTCAATGTTTTACTTCTCCCTTAGAAACAGCTAAGTAAAGATTTATCAAAAAGTTTGAGAGTATACATAGGGGTTGGGCTGAAAAATAGATTCAGAGGTTTGACTGTTCTGGATGCTAGAAGAAACTGAAATGATATGCAAGTACTCCAGGAAGATTGACTCTTGCACCATGTGACCATAAGGAAAAGAAAGACAAGGTACTTACTACCTTAGAACATAATGATAGATGAAGACTAACTTTGCCAGAGTAGAATCAGTCCTAATAACTTATCAGTGAATATACTTCAGCCAACACAAATAGGCAAGAGGTCAGGGATGAAAACAGCTTCTAGGGTGTGGATTCACGGATACCTCCAAGAAGAACAAATTAGGTAAAGTGAAAAATCAGTGCAGAACAGCTTAAAGTTCAGGGGAGCTGAAAAGTGTCTTCCTTACCCAGAGGCCAAGACAGAGCAAGAACAGGAGAGACCAGGGCATCTGTGAGTTATCAAGCTCTAACTAATGGTAAGAAAGAAGACTGAAAATCAAGTTTTTATAGAGAGTGAAGCTCCCATCAGACTTGGAAGTCGTACCAACCCTCTAACCAATAGTTTGTTTATCTTTGACTATCAAAACTGACCCAACTGACAAGGACCAAACCAAATGCCAATCTTCTCCAGAAAGCTTTCTGTTATTATTCATCAAAAGGGATCTTGTCAAAAAGTTGAGTTAAAGTACTTCCCTCCCCTCTCCACAGAAACAGTGGTGTGAAAGGGGGAAGGGTACTGTATAGAATATTGCATACACTGCCATGACTAACATATTGATTGACTTTGTTGAAGTACGTTCTTTTCTTTTCAAAAAAAGTATTACTAAGAGTGGCTAGTGTGAAGGAATGGGATATATTTGGAAACAAATGTGATAAAAATATCAATAAAAAAATTTTTATGTGATCTCACTTTAGATGATATACCACAGTTATTTGCGTACATGCATCTCCCTTATGAGATGTTTTAATTAGCTTGAGGGTAGGAATGTTTTATACTTTAATGGCCCTCCTAACCCTGGCATGTAGCTTCTCACATAGTATGTTATGCACTCAATAATTTGTCAAATGAATGAATTTTTAGAACACATGTAATGTATGAAATGAGGTACACCAGTATTAGCAAATTACTTGATACTTAATGGTCTCAAATTTTTCTAGCTCCAACTTAATGACCTCTAAAACCCATTACTGTTTTTCACAAAGTGAAAACTGAATTAAAAAAATCCTAAGTCAATTAAAAATTTTAATTTATGAATAAATACCATCTCATTCAAGAAGGTAAAAGAACAGACACTACCTGTTATCAGTATGAGAAATTTAACCTCAGCACAAGGGATCAAATTAACAGCTAAGAATACAGCCTCAAGAAAGAGACATGTTGGAAAATAAACTTGCAGTACAAAGAAAAGATCAGAAGCAAGAATGTTATAAAGAAGTAACATACATAATGTGCTGAATTCAAACACTCCAACAAGCTCCAGCTTTACTAAGCTCTTGATATGTGAAAGTCACTATACTAAGCTGAGGTTATACAAAAAAAAAACAAAAAAACAAAACAAAAAAAACAAAAACAAAACCAGCCCTGAACCCTGAAGGAACTTATATTCTGCTAAGGCATACAAGTAAACCAGACAAGTCATACAAAGCTAGATGAGGGGCTAGAAAGCACTAGCAATGAGTGGAATCAGACAAGATTTCAGACAGGTGTCATATGACTTTCAGACTTGAAGAAAAAACAGCTTCCAAAGGGTGGAGGTGAGAAGGAAGTACAATCAAACATTGGGGAAGTCTTGTGCAATGACAGAGGCAAAAGAAAAAATGCTGAATTTGGGGAATAGTTTGACTCAAACATAAGAATGTTAAAGGGAATTTCTCTATTAATAATGGATTAAGAAATAAACTTGTAAAGGAAGGCTCTCTAGATTGTAATGTATTTCAAATGTCAACTTGAAGAATCTGTATTTTATGCTACAGGAAATAACCACTATGTTATTGAGAAAGGGATTAGTATGATGACTTGAGCTTTATTCTATATGCATGGAATATGCATGGAACTCTCCCTTCTTACCTCCACCTTTTGCCTTCCTGGTTTCCTTTAATACTCAGTTCAAATCCCACCTTCTATAAGAGGCTTGTCCTGATTCCCTCAGCTGTCAGTGCCTTCTGAGATAATCTTCCACCTCTCTCTCTCTATATATACTGGATTATGTAGTTACTTAAATGTCCCTTCCTCCACTAGAATGTGAGCTCCTTGAAGGCAGGGGTCATATTTTTGCCTTTCCTTGAATTACCCGTGTTTAGTACGATGACTGACACACAGTAAGCCCTTAATCAAATACTGCCATCTGACCTGTTTTCTTCTTCACATCCCCAACATTTAAAAGTTAATTCTATACTTTTGTCATAGCTAAGTTCAAATTCTGCCTCAAACATTAAATGTGTGACCCTGGGCAACTCTTCCAACCCTGCTCAGCTTTAGTTTCCTAATCTGTAAAATGGGGATAATAGCACCTATTTCCCAGGGTTGTTGCACTTTGCAAACCTTAAAACACTATATAAATGCTTGAAATTATTTTTATTATAACCTAATTGTCACTTTATTTTTACTAATGGAAAATAGGACTAAAACTTTTAAAAAGCTGATATCACTGTTATAGCTAGAATTTACATAGCACTTTAAGGTTTGCAAAGCACTTTAAAAATTATTTCATTTTACCCTCACAACAAAAATGGGAGGCTAGTGCTATTATCATCCCACTTTACAGGTGAGGAAACTGCAGCAGGCAGGTTAAGTGACTTGTCTTCCTAACTTCACTGTGCCACCTGGCTGCCAGCTGACCGAATGTTTTAAAGGAAGAGTATTTTGCAAGTTTTATGGTAAGGGGGATAAAAGACTGGAGAGTCATGGAATCCTGAATCCAATTGAAGCTATTAAACATAACCCAGCAAGAAGGTGATGAGGGCCTGATAGGGTGTTGAAGACGTGAGGCTGAAGAGTTGATTGCTTTCTGCTGGGGTCAGCGGGGAAACTTTTTTTTTTTCTTTTGCAGGGGCAGGAAGATCACTTTCTCCCTGCAAACCAAGTTGGCCACGAGGCCTTGCATCACAAGCAGGAGGAAGAGGAGGAGGAGGAAGGGGGCGGGGCAGCAGCATGGCTCAGAGTCAGTCCCGAAGGTAGTTTCCCCAGGAAGTCTAAAGGGGGCGGCTTCAGCCCGCAAAGACTCGGCTCAGGGTCCCTCGGGGCGTGGGCCCCTCCTGCGAGGTCGTCGTACCCCGGACTTGCTTGCCCGCAGCCCTGGGGGGTTCGGGGGCGGTCCCTGGCCCGGAGTGAAAAAAGACAAGGGGGAAAAGGGGACCTGCCAGGGGTGGGGGGAGGAGGAGTCGCCGCCGCGGACCTTGCTCCTGCCCTGGGCGGGGAGCGGGAGGGTGTCCCGGAGGAGCCCTCGCTCGGTCCTCGCCCCAAGCTGAAGCTTCGGGTCAAGCCCACGCCGGGTCCGGGGGCCACGGCCTCCGCCGCCGCCTCCTCCTGCTTTCTTCCCAGGCTCCAGAAGCTACGCGGTGCCCTCCGCTCTCACCGAATCCTTTAATGAGTTCAGTGAAGACCCCGGGGTCGCTCTCCATGAGGCACCACTCCCCGGCGCTGGCCGCCATGGCCCCAGCCGCTCCTCTCCTCTCCTGTCTCACCGCCTCTCAACTCCCGGCCGCCGCTTGCAGCCGCCGCCGCCCAATACCGACCCCCAACACCAGCGGCAGACCCCGAGCACAGCAAATCCGCCGCGGCTGTCCTCCACCACACGTCACCGCGCCTCCTTCCCGACAACCTTCGGGGCTCCCGTCACCTGAGCCGCCACAGCCTGCAAAAAGGGCCGCTCTAGCCTTAAACGAGGAGACGAGGTCCTATTGAAGTGGCCCCTTTCACGACCCGTAGCCGCCTGAGAAGGCGAGGGAGGGGTTGGGCAAAGGAGGGGGAGGGATTCTGGGTAGGAGGGTGGGCAAAAAAGAGGTAACATCCGGGATCCTCGAAAGAGGCGTGGGGGAAAAGGGGCGGGACGGAATCTGGTCGGGGAAGGAAAAATAGCTGCTGCTGCTGCCTCAATTGCTGCTTCCCAAGGAGGCCAGCCTCGGCCGAGGGGGCCCTACGCGGAGCCGCCTGCCCTGAGGGCCTCCTCCCGACTCTGTGTGACTGCACTCAGGTGAGGAAGCTCCAGGAGGCGGCTCCCGCCTCCCCCAGGGGCTTTGTGCGGTCGGAGCGACCCCCCGGGACCCGCGCCTCGGGCTGCTCCCCTTGGCGGCAGCCCGGCTTCCCGGGGCGGCCCGTGGGCGGCGGCTGGCTGTGGATAAGGGGGTCTAGATCTTCGGCGTAGTGGGGAAGCTGTCCCGGGCTTCCTGCGGCGGTCATGGCCGCTGATGTCCCTGGGGGAGGGGACGATCACCCCCCCCTCACCCCATCCCTTTCCTGCGGCCGCCGCCATTCCGAGATTAGGGAAGGGGGCGGGGGGAGAGACGGAGCCGCGGCTTTGTCCGAGGCCCGGGAGGGATTGACTGGCGGTGCCGACGCTGCAGCTGCGGCCGTCCAGATCGGAGGTCCCCGAGGGTGCGGCGCCGCTTGTGCGCGTGTTCTGATTCAAGGACTTCTCTTTGAGCGGATGGCGAGTGGAGGTGATGGAGCGGTCTATTTAAAAAAAGGTGGGGGTGGGGGTGGAGTTTTACTGACTCATTCAAGCCCTTACTGGAGATGGCAATTATGGCTCGGTAGGAGAGATTAAGAGCGAAGTGACAGAATGAGAACGGTCTGGTGTGTCATTCCTTTAAAGGTATTCACATAATAAAAAGTTGTTTTAAAGGGCCTGGAGATTGAGGAGAAAGGCCCCTTTCCTTGCACAGGCTGAATTATAAATCTTTAAAATGTCTTGAAGTTACCTCTGGTGTAACAGTGCTTTAGGGAGTCAACCTTAAAAATAACGGGGTGTTCCAAAAGTCTTAATGCCATTCTAAGCTTTAGTAGTTTAAAATAATAATAATAGTTACAGCATTTACATAGCTCAACTACCCTGGGAGGTATGTGTTAGGCCGTTTTTACAGGTGAGAAAATAGACAGGTGACTTGCTTCGGGTGAATAAGGTAGGATTTGAACTCGGACTCAAGGTCCAGCACTCTATACATCTGTGCTTTAGAATTTCGCCAAGACTTTTGAGACCTCCTGTGCTTGGTTTCAAAGTACAAGGTTTTTTTGATGATTTAGAAGACGTATTAAATATTTCTAGGGCAGTAACTGGAGCATTGGACCAGAAGTTAAGAAGAACCGAATTCAAATCCTGCCTCAGACCTGAGATTCAACTAGCCATGTGAACTGGGAAAGTCACAGAGTCTCTGTTTGCCTCAGTTTCTTCTATAAAATGATTATAATAGCACCTACCTCACCAGGGTGTTGTTCAAATGAGATAATATTTGTAAAGTTCTCTGCAAACCTTAAAGGGCTGTATAAACGCTAGCCAGCTATTGTTATGCTTAAAGCGCTATGGGTGTGGTATTAAATTGGAAACCACAGAGACATCACGATTTGTACAGTAGCTTTTATCAAATGTAGGGGTAGCTTGGCCAGGTGGATAGAGAGCTAGGCTTGGAGTCAAGAAAACATTCATTGACATCCTGTCTCTGATACTGGTATTGTGATTATGGGCAAGTCATTAAATCTGTATGGAACCTAAGCAGCTCCCTAAGATTTAGCTTGTGCCATAATTCTTGTTGCTTTTTTCTGAGGATATCTCCATATTATCTTGTGTATATTTTGTTTGTACATAGTCCTAAACTAAAGAGTTTGAAACAGGTTCATTGTGTGTATATTATATTTAGATATAGATATTTAGATATCTATATTTTGTATTTACATTAAAAATAAATGAATGCATTTAAAGTACACAGAACTTAGATTATGCAGAATATTAATCACATTAGAAAAATCCCAGTAATTATATCCATCTTATGGCATTTTGTTTCAAGCACATTATCAGTTTCTTTTAAAAAAAAGGGGGGGGGGCAGGGCAGCTAGGTGGTGCAGCAGATAGAGCACAGTCTGGTGGACCTGAGTTCAAATGCAGGCCTCAGACACATAACACTCACTAGCTGTGTGACTCTGGACAAATCACTTAACCCCAATTGCCTCACCAGAACAATTTTTTAAAAAATTAAAGCAAAACAAAAAAAGATTTCTCTAGAGTGAAAATCCATACTAGCTTCCTAGAGTGATGCAGTAGTTAGAATAACTAAATTATTTACATGCTAAGGCCAACTCCATAGAAATTAACCACCTTGCAATTTTAAACAACTTCTTCTGATTGTACATGAATAGGTTATCTAATTACAGGATTACCCATGTTGTCCACTCCGCCATCATATTGCCTTTGTTCCTTTCACTGCCCTGGTCTGTCCTGGCCTGCTAATAATGTGGCTAACCAGACAAGGTGGAAGCATTACCTAGAGCTGGAGAATAACAGCCTGGCGTTAAAAAATGGCCATGAGTAATCCACTCACTGGTAAATCCACGCAAAGATTACTGATGATTTATTGTATATTTCTTTTTTTGTCTGTGTAACTAATATGACTTAATTTTTTTATTTCATATTTAAATGTACTCATAAGGATAGTGTTCTTGTTTTTACCAATTTGATAATTTTTTAATAAAAATCAAACTGAATAGGTCATCCAGAGGACTGTGAATAATGTTATTCACTGCTTGCTTGTTTAAGAGGTAAGGGACTAGGGCAGCAGGTGACACAGTGGATAGAACACCAACCCTGAAGTCAGGAGGACCTGAGTTCAAATGCGGCCTTAGAAACATAACACTCACTAGCTGTGTGACTCTGGGCAAGTCACTTAACCCTGATTGCCTCACTTAAAAAAAAGAAAGTAGGGGGCTCAAAGTGTGGGTGGAGGCATAACATTTTCAGATAAGGCCAATAGATTGGATTTGTTTTGCTTAATTATACTTATTTTTTAAAAGTTTGGGATTGGGGAGTGGGGATGATGGAGAGAGAGACTATAGAGAGTGATGCCAATAAAAACAAAGAGGAGGGTTATTGTGGCATCTTTTAAAAAGATCCACATAAGAAAGTTTGGAGGGAGGACAATTTCAAAAATAACATGTTGAATTCATTTTACCATTTTGAAAAGAAATGCAAGCTGTACATAATGGAATTCTGTGGTTTTACATGTAGTCCTCTGCCTTTATTCTTTGTATATGGAAATACTTACATTTGTCAAGTTCAGAATAACGAAAATTTAAAAAAAAAAATTTAAAAACCGAATGGATAAGAATTTTATACTGGCCCTACCATTAGTTATATGATCTGTTATATGACCGTTCTCTACCCTGGCTAGCAATAAAAGTATGTAAATAGCTAAGAGCTGTTAGCATCATTGCTAAAAAATAATGAAATATGCTTATCTTACTAGTTATGTATCAATAAGTCATATGCAAAAGGATAGCACATTTTAATGATCCCTAACTGAGTAAAGAAAACTCAGTTTAGCCTTATGGAAAGGGGAAAAGAACAGGCATTTATTGAGCACTTCATTAGATCATCACAACAACCCTGAAGGGTGTATGCTAGTATTTTTCCCCATTTTAGACTTGAGGAAATGGAGTCTGACAGAAGTTAAGTGACTTGACCATAATCACACAGCTAGTGAATATCTGAGACTGGATTTGAACCTGTCTTTCTGACAGGCCCAGCACTATCCACTGTATCACCTTGTTCTCTTATGATATTAAATAGTTATGTCCACCTTAGGCATAGATGAGTTAATATAATATTTAAAAAACTTGTGATTCTATGTGGGACAAAAGTTAACAAGCATCAGTCATGGAAATTTAGAACTAGATTACGCAAAAATACCATGTTTGTATGTAAATATTGTATACTCGGATGGCATTTCTTTGATGTTATCTCAGTATATTCCCCTTTTATAGAAAATGTTTTGCATGAACTACATAATTCACAATCAAGTTGTTTTATACATCTTACTTTTCCTGAGATAATATATTTTCAACATTCCAACATATAAAAACATGTTCCAACATACATAAACATTTAACGTATATAAATGTATAGTTTATAACTTGACACAGATCGAAGGTTTAAGCCTAATTTTCAAAAGAAATGTTATCTAAAAAGCCTGAATGATTTGTTAACAGGGCATATAATTTAGAATCAGCCCAGAAATTAAGTTCTTATTTCTTTGGTATCAAAAGTTTTCTTAATAGATATAGTAAGAAATTAGTTGTTAAATATGATTCCTTTTTAGAGGAAGAGATATTTGACTAGTAATTCCTTATCTTGATTTATTCAGATTTTTTTTTTTTTTTTTTTTTGGTATACGAAATTTTATTTTTTACAAAGGGGTGTCATTCTTATGTTACTGCCTAGCTCATTACCAGGGTATTTATATACAATTAATGTATACAATTAATGGATAATTGTAATACAATAAATACAGAACCACCAAAGAACTGAGATATCTTGTACATATCATTCCAAAGCAGAGGTTATTAACCTTTTGTGTGTGTGTCATGGATTCCTCTGGCAGTCTGGTGAAGGTGGAAATTTCCTCATCTGTAACATGGGAACAATAATAGTGCCTACCTTATTCCTAGCTAATGCTTGGAGTGGTTCTGTTGTACACTATGGCTTCACTGTTTTCTTTGAAGTGTTTTAAGTTCCCAGAACGTACCGATATATAAATGCAAGTAAGCAAGAATTGAAAGTACTTCATATGTCTTAATTTTGCTCTTTTGTATTCCAGTGGTAACATTGTGGTCTTCTTGGCAGGTTTCCTAAAAAAAGAAAACAATGGAGGAATCTATAAGCCAAATGCAACCACTGAATGAAAAACAGGTGAACAATTCTGCCAGTGGCTATGTTTGGCAGGTCACAGACATGAATCGACTGCACCGTTTCTTATGTTTTGGTTCTGAAGGTGGTACTTACTACATCAAAGAGCAGAAATTGGGCCTTGAAAATGCTGAAGCTTTAATTAGACTGATTGAAGATGGTAAAGGATGTGATGTGATACAGGAAATAAAGACTTTTAGTCAAGAAGGGAGAACAGCAAAGCAGGAGCCAATACTTTTTGCTCTTGCCATTTGCTCACAGTGTTCTGATATAAACACAAAACAAGCAGCATTTAAAGCAGTTTCTGAAGTATGTCGAATACCTACTCACCTCTTCACTTTTATTCAATTTAAAAAAGATCTAAAGGAAAGCATGAAATGTGGTATGTGGGGTCGCGCTCTCAGAAAAGCTGTAGCAGACTGGTATAATGGGAAAAGTGGCATGACCCTTGCTCTGGCTATTACAAAATATAAACAAAGAAATGGCTGGTCACACAAAGATCTTTTAAGATTGTCTCATCTTAAACCTTCTAATGAAGGTAAGACTCATTTTTCATTTTTAGTATCCTTTTAATTTTCTGTCCTAATAAAGCACACAATAGCACAGAAAAGTCTTATACTTTTATTAGGCATGGAAATGTGTAAGGATAAGAAGAAAACTTTTTAGAGCTATATTGAAGAAAACAAGGAAGATCAAAAGTAGGATTGTTCCTGGGTGGTTGAAACTTTGATAACACAAACAAAAAAGTAATGTAGCTATTTGACTTTTATTATGCTTCTGTTTGCCAAAGAGAAGCTCTTGGATTGGAAAAGACAAAAATAAGTTAAATGGGTAGGGAATGAGCTTGTGATTTTATTGATAAGGAATCCTAGATGATGTAACTACTTCTAGCAGTACAGGTAAGCAACTTCTCTGCACCTTACAGTCTTATAAACTTGTCTAGAACACTAAGAGTTAAGTGATTTGTCCAAGGTCACATAGCCTGTGTGTGTGCATCTTAGATGCATCTTAGACTTAGGTCTTGTTAGTTTCAAGGCCAATTCTATTGACTATACTGTGCTGTGAAGATAAATTGGTAGATAGCAAGAGAGCACTTAGATCTCTATTACTTCCTTCCCCTTGTTAAATGGTTGAAATCACATGGCCCAAACACCAGAATTCCAGAATATTTAAAGAACTGAAGGATATTACTGCTGTTAGTAGTCTTTGAAAACTCATGGAATATAAGAGAGATGCTGCAGTATGGAAGCAAGGCACATACTACATTTTTCACAAAATGGCAGAATATATAGTTGGCGAACTTTTAGCCAGTGAGTTTGAGTTTGATCCTTGCAAAATTACATGATATTTTATTAAAGACATAGTGACTACATAGGAAAGGAAGTAGTGATCACAAAGGATCACCATAGCTTCATCAAGAAACAGGTAAAGTTAAACTCACTGAATTTCCTTTTTGATAGGGTTACTATAATGGTAGATGATAGAAATGCCTTTTTAGAGAATTACAGATTTAAACATAAAGAAACCTTAAAGGTCATCTTACTTATCCCCTTTGTTTTTATAGATGAAGATGAGGGCCAGAGAAATAATAAATTCCTGAACCAGAATTCAAACCCAGGTCCTCTGACTACAAATCCAATATTCTTTCCACTATACCATGCTACCTCCCAGTAGTTTACCTATGCAACGTGATAGTCTTTATGCTATTCTTGTGGAAAAGATGGAGATGTAGCATAGGTATGGTTAATAATACAATGATAATTATCTTTTATATAACTTTTTAAGGCTTACAAAGCACTTTATATATGTTATCTCATTTACTTAGATGGATTTATAACTTGCACTAGCCAGACCTAAAGAGTAGTCATTTGTGTTCGATGTCAGTTTGGAAAGAGGTTTCTCCAAGTAGAGTCTATTCTATGTCAAAGGTTTATTCTTAACCCTGTGCTATTAAGATAAAATACAGGTTTGAACATAAGTCTTAGACTTGGGTTAAAAAATCCATATTAGCAATAGTAACCTGATGTGAAAGCTTACTATGAGGTGACAGAGTGATTTTGCAACAACAAAAATGGCCACCTTAAGAGTCATAGGGTCCAGGTCTAGATACTATACCCCCATACTCTCTTCCTCCTATTCTCCGCCCCACCCCAGCCCTCCAAGGAAGAGGAACTCATTCTATTTGACTTTGGAGGGGAGAACTAGGAACAATGGCTAGAAATTTAAAAGAGACAGATTTAGGCTCAATTTCAGGAAAAGCTTTCTAACAGCTATTTGAAAGTGGAATGGAGCTGCCAAAGGGTTGGGGGTCACTGGAGGTCATCGGATTAAAAACTAGATAAACATTTATAAGGTATGTAATAGAGGGGGATATGCCTCCAGGTAAATGGTTAAGCAAGATATTCCGACGCCAGGATTCTGTGATTTGGGTCTTCCCATTCTATATGCTGTCTATTCACCACTTTTTCCAATCCATTTTTTATTCTACTGTTAGAATAGATTTGGTTCCTGTTTCTGAGTAAAGTTCTAATTGCTGTGCCTGGCATCAAAGATTTTCACAATATAGTAAACTTGTATTTCACCGTATTTGTTTCATATACTCCCTTCCACATACTCTACATAACACTCCAGCCAAATAAGATTAATCACTGTCCACCATAAACATCCATCACTTCTCTGCCTCTGAACCTTTGCTCTGGCTTTTTCCTAAAACTGGAATGCCTCTGCTCTTTATACATTTCATCTTGAAGTCCTACTTAGTTCTTTTTTTTTAATTTAATTTTTGTACATTTTACGTCCCAGACTGTCTGCCTCCCTCCCCGACCCACACTAGAAAAGTCCACAATTTAAAGACACAGCCAGGGTGTGTATGTGTGTCTGTGTATGTATGTGTGTAAAACCATACTATGCATATTTCTATTTATCACTTCCTTCTATGGATGTAGATAGCATCTTCTTTCATAGACTCTTTGTAGTTGATTTGAGTACAATGCTCAGAATAGCTTAATCGTTCATAGTTATTCTTTGAAAAATATTGCTATTGGGGGCAGCTAGATGGCGCAGTGGATAGAGCACCAGCCCTGGATTCAGGAGGACCTGAGTTCAAATCCGGCCTCAGACACATAATACTTCTTAGCTGTGTAACTGTAGGCAAGTCACTTAACCCGAATTGCCTCACTAAAAAAAAAAAATATTGCTGTTGCGGGGTGGAGCCAAGATGGAAGAGGGAAAGCAGTGACTTGCTTAAGCTCTCCCCCAAACCCCTCCAAATACCTGTAAAAAAAAAAAATGGCCCTAAACAAATTATAAAGGAGCAGAACCCACAGAAAGACAGAGTGAAACAAATTTCCAGCCTAAGACAACCTGGATAGTTGATTGGAAAGGTATATCGCGCTGGGTGGGGAAAGGAGTGCAGTTTGGTGTGGGTGCACAGGCCACAGCAAACCTGGAACAGGCCTCAGAGGCCTGAATCACAGGCACCTGTGGCAGTTTCCAGACTTCTCAACCCATGAATACCATAGACAACTTGGAAGGTCAGTGGGAAAAGTCTGTTTCTGTAGTGGTGAGAGACAAGCTAGATTTCAGCCGCGGCTGCCTCCTGAGCTTCTGGCCCACAGACTGAGGGGGAATCGAGTGGCTGATCAGAGGGGGATTGCAGGGATCTCTTTGCCAGTACTGAGGCAGGAATCTCTTGCTTTGCCCATGCTTGGATCTGGGTCACAGTTCTGAGGGGTGATCCTGGGGCAAGGAGGAGTTCTGGTGTGGTGGAGCTTGTTGTGGCTTCTTATCATAGCACCTTGGAAGAACTGAAAATTTGTAAGGTCCCTAGAAGTATCTCTGAAAACAGCTGTACAAACCCCTGAAGCTTGGGACAGTACATTCTCCACATTGGAAGCAGACTCTTATCTTAACAAAGAGTTTAAAACTCAAGTAATTGACTGGGATCATGAGCAAACCTCACAAAAAGAGTCAGACTATATTATCTTACTTTGGTGACAAAGAATATCAAAACATACAACCAGAAGAAGACAACAAAGTCAAAGCTCCTGTATCCAAAGCCTCCAAGAAAAATATGAATCAGTTTAGTCCCAGGCCTTGGAAGAGCTCAAAAGCGATTTTGAGAAGCAAGTAAGAGAAGTAGAGAAAAAACTGGGAAGAGAAATGAGTGATCCAAGAAAATCATGAAAAATAAGTCAACAGCTTACCAAAGGAGACCCAAAACAATACTGAAGAAAATAACACCTTAAAAAAATAGCCTAACCCAAATGGCAAAAGAGGTCCAAAAAAACCGATGAGGAGAAGAATACCCTAAAAAGCAAGATTGGCCAAATAGAAAAGGAAGTCCAAAAGATTACTGAAGAAAATACTTCTTTAAAAATTAGAATAGAGCAGTTGGAAGCTAGTGACTTTGAGAAATCAAGACACTGTACAACATCCAAAAGAAAAAAAATTAGAAAACAATGTGAAATATGTCATTGGAAAAACAAGTGACCTGGAAAATAGATCCAGGAGAGAGAATCTAAAAATTATTGGACTATCTGAAAGCCATGATCAAAAAAAAGAGCCTAGACATCATCTTTAAAGAAATTATCAAGAAAACCTGCCCTGATATTTTAGAACCAGAGGGCAAAATGGAAATGGAAAGAATCCACCAATCTCCTCCTGAAAGAGATCCCCAAAGGAAAACTCCTAGGAATATTATAGCCAAATTCCAGAGTTCCCAGGTCAAAGAGAAAATATTAGAAGCAGCCAGAAAGAAACAATTCAAGTATTGTGGAAGCACAATCAGGATAACACAAGATTTAGCAGCTTCTACATTAAGGGACCGCAGGGCATGGAATATAAAATTCTGGAGGGCAAAGGAGATAGGATTATAATCAAGAATCACCTACCCAGCAAAACTGAGCATAATCCTTCGTAGGGAAAAAATGGTCATTCAGTGAAAAAGAGGACTTTCAAGCATTCTTGATGAAAAGACCAGAGCTGAACAGAAAATCTGACTTTCAAATACGAGACTCAAGTGGAACATGAAGAGGCAAACAGGAAAGAGAAATCTTAAGAGACTTACTAAGGTTGAACTGTTTATATTCCTGCATGGAAAGATGATATTTGTAACTCATGAGACTTTTGTCAGTATTAGGGTAGTTGGAGGGAAAAAAATTATATGTACGTATATATAGGTATGGATAGATAGAGCTCACAGGGTGAGTTGAAAATGGAGGGGTCATATCTGGAGAATAAAATTAAGGGGTGAGAGAGGATTATACTAGGAGAAGGAGAAAGGGAGAGGTAGAACAGGGTAAATTATCCCCCCCCAAAAAAAAACAAAAGAAAAGGTTCTTACAGTGGAGGGCAAATGGGGGAAAGTGAGAGGGAATGAGTGAATCTTATTCTCATAGGATTTGACTTAGGAGGGAATAACATACACACTCAATTGGGTATGGAAATCTGTCTTACCCTACAGGAAAATGGGGGGGGCGAGGGGACAAGAGAGTAGGGGAATGATAGGAGGGCAGATTGGGAAAGGGGGTAATCAGA